TGTTGGGGGCAATATGCTGACTCTGTAAACCGCTTAGAGAGGGCTGAAAGCCTTATGAAGCGGTATATAAGTCTAACTGCTATTGCTATTGCTAACAGGCTCCCACTGTTCTTCTGCCTCATTGATGTCAGACTCCGGAGCCTCTGGAAGCAGCACATAACTCTGGCCCCCTCTGCCTCTGACACAGAGCCCTCATCAGAGCCTTCCCCAGACTCCAGGACTGCCCCATCTTCCTCCCCAACCTCCTCACTGTCCGAATCTGCTGCCAGCTCCACAGGCCAACAGCGGACCACAACAAAAATAAGACCCTGTCTTATAATTTTTTTGCCACCAAAAAAAGCACCAGGTCTTATTTTTGGAGGGGGGGAAATGTCATCCATTGACTCACCACACTGGTGCACATTGCCCCGGCCTCTTTTTCACTATCAGAAACGTTCAGGAACGTCTTCTCCGGGCAAGGCCAGCAATGGCTTTCCTGAAGGCCTCTGTAGCCGATAACAGAGTTCCGGATCGATCCAGAGCTCTGCTATCAGCTACAGAGGCCTTCAGGAAAGCCTTGCTGGTTGCAGCAAAAGAAATGGGCCGAGGTGTGCGAGGTCTGACTGCAACTATCTGATGGTAAGTAGCAAGTCAACTCCACCACCCCTCCATCTCCACCCTAGCTTAATTTTTATCCTTGCACCCTGGAGCAGGTGGCGTCTTAATTAGGGCTTATTTTGGGAGTAGGGCTTATACTGAGTGCACATGTAAAAAAAATCAAGCTTACTTTCTGAGTACATCGTATTTTCGGGGAAAACATTTTCGGGGTATTTTTGTATGAACGTCAGTTAAGCTTTGTAGGAAACTGCTAAGGAGCTCCTCACCAACGGATCAATTAAGACAGCAATAGCAATAGCAGTTACACTTATATACCGCTTCATAGGGCTTTCAGCCCTCTCTAAGCGGTTTACAGAGTCGGCATATTGCCCCCACAGTCTGGGTCCTCATTTTACACACCTCGGAAGGATGGAAGGCTGAGACAACCCTGAGCCGGTGAGATTTGAACCGCCGAGCTGCAGAACTAGCAGTCAGCTGAAGTGGCCTGCAGTACTGCACCCTAACCACTGCGCCACCTCGGCTCGGATGCATTCTTCTGCATCTTCTCCAATGTTCATTAAGTTAGGGTTTCTTTGCATCCCAAAGTGGCCTCCAACTTTTCTCTCTTCCCTTCTTCGTGTAGGTTTGACCGACGCTGAGATTTTGGCTCAAGCCACTATCTTCATTTTAGCTGGCTACGAGACGGTCAGCAGCGCCCTCAGTTTCTTGACCTACGAACTGGCCATCCATCCGGACATACAGCAAAAACTTCAGGAGGAGATTGACAAAGTTCTGCCCAACAAGGTAGGTGTCACTCAACTTTGATGCGATGGGGCTTTCAACTTTTTAAGAGAAGACTGGACAGCCACTTGTCTGAAATTTATTTATTTATTTATTTATTTATTAAATCGATTTATAGGCCGCCCAATCCCGGAGGACTCCGGGTGGTTTACATAGAAAGAAAATAATAATAATAATAAT